ATCAATGTAAGGGTCATTGACAGCCACGACTTTGACCCCCTTCTCCACGCAGGCCCGAAGGACCAAGCGCCCAATACGTCCAAATCTGCAGGAGCAAAGAAGCCCATCCATTAAAGCACATTTCCAAACCCCTTTGGTACAATTAAGGTGAGCAGAAGGGATTACTTAAAAAGAGACTTCCTTTAGTGCAATGTTTCTTAACCTTGAGGAGAGGAGAGGAGAGAATAGAGAATAGAGAATAGAGAATAGAGAATAGAGAATAGAGAATAGAGAATAGAGAGTAGAGTAGAGTAGAGTAGAGTAGAGTAGAGTAGAGTAGAGTAGAGTAGAAGAGAAGAGAAGAGAAGAGAAGAGAAGAGAAGAGAAGAGAAGAGAAAATAGAGAATAGAATAGAAAGTAGAGAGAATAGAATAGTTCTTTATTGGTCAAGTGTGATTGGACACATAAGGAATTTTTAATTTTAAGACATATAAATCTCCCAGAATTCTCAAGCCAGCGTGAGGGAGGTAAGCTCAGGTCCCATGGGCATGACCTCTGCCCATATCTGTTTTTAAAGTGGCCTCTGCAAATTGCTATGGCCTTCGGATAGATAAGACAGCAGGAAGATTCCCAGGAGGCTTGGAAGTCAGGGGTTTGCCTCTCGGTTTCATGTTGCACTTCCACCTAGGTTTCACTGCAACTTTCCAACTTAACGTAAACCATCACATGGTGCAACTCAAAAATTCTGGCTGCAGATTCACTTGTGAATCAAACCAGCAAGTTTTATTCAATCACAAAGGCTGTGTTTGAACATGATTGTTGAGATAGACAGACAGACAGATAATCCATTTCATTTTCTATCATTAGGAGGGCATTTTCAAGAAACTAAGAGTACTGTTTCCTAATGTATGGACTTTAACTCCCAGAATCTCCCAACCTCATCTTCGAATACAAAAGTATCAACCGGGCAAGGAAGAAAAAAAGCTTACCCATTGATTCCAACAGCAAACTCCGCCATGCGTTTTTTAGGTGGTGGAGGCGGTGGAGGTGGAGGTGGAGGTGGAGGAGCTTCTGGCTCTGGCTCTGGGGTGGGTGGCTGGGGTGTTGCCTCTGACTCAGGGCTACCTGGCACTGGCTCCGGAGAGATCTTTGGAGGAGACCCGTCACTGATCTCAAGCCTGGAGGAACATGAACATCACAAAAAGGGCAAACATAATTGCAAATTTATCTTGGTTGACATTTGTAACCTTCAAGCATAGCCTTATTTTGTGTGTGTGTGTGTGTGTGTGTGTGTGTGTGTGTGTGTGTGTGTGTGTCTGTAATTTACATCTATATATTAAAATCAATAAACATCACACCCTAAAATTATTATTCCAAGCTGAATCTCAATTATTAAAAAAACTACTGCAGTTGCATGAATAGTTTTACTAACTCAATAATTTAAGACCCTATTAACTTCACCGAAAGGTCCTCTCAGTAAATATCTTTACCACATCTCCACTGGAGCAAGAATTTGCATGTATTTTTCTCAAGGACATTCTTGAAATCAATATTCTAGTTATGTCATCCTTCTGTACATTATGTAGTGAATTCTACAATTAGCCAGATGCATTCAGCTTACATTTCCATCTTCTAACTACAAATTCAAAACTTACATATATAGCCTAATTTTGGGATTCCATTCCTTCTTCTCTACTGTCTTTTTTTTTTTTTGTAACTTGGCTTGACAAAAACTTTCTGAGAATTCAAAGTTAGCATGTTTACCTTCCATGGGATCAATCAGAATGATTCTATTGTGGCTCTGAAATTATTTTTCTCTTGAACCAGTGTGGTTATGGCCAATTCACATGTAGACTGGTTTCTCTCATCACTAGTCTAAGCCATTCTATTATTTGTTTGCATTTGGCTTAATGCAAAATATAAACCTCATCCATTATGGCTTGTAAATCATGGGTTCTGATCAACGATTGCAATGAGTATAGTTTACCTATTATTAAATTCATATTAAAAATGATTACAATTCTTCTTGTCAAAATTTGACAAAGGTGCTACTTTAGATTCCAAGAGAGAAAGAATGGCAGATCTTACGTACATATCTACTCCAATCACCGTAAGATCCCCAACTGTTTCTACAAATTCTTTCAAGGCTAACGGATCTATTATTTGTGAAATTGAAACAAGCAAAAATGAATGCTCAGATATACTGGTATTCCTGCTTTATGTAAAGAATATTCAAGATCATTATTTTTGAGAGGACAACCAAAAAGTTGTTTGATGCCTCCAAACAAGGAAAATCTACAACAAGTAGATGTTAATTAATTTCCATCTGGCTGGGCAGGCTTCTAAAGGGACATTTTGGAAATGTTATTTTTGCTAACATCTATCCCTCCACTGATCTTAGTTTGTGAGTATACATGAAAGTCATTTCTTTCCCAGTACAATATTCTATATTGATAGGCATACCACTATCCTTTAATGAAGCATTGGATAACATATGCCCCCCCACCGCCACGCTACAGCACAGCTGGGCTACAATTCCCATCATCCCCACCACTTCTCAGGTCGGCTGAAGTTGCTGAGAAAAGTAGTTCAACAATGTCTGAAAGATCACAAGCTCCTCATCCCTGTTTCAGGGCGTAAATCAGAAGATCTTACCATTGATTATATCGATTCCATAAACTTCATGGAGGAGATAACAATTAACCTTTAAAGTCTTTCAAGGTGATTTTCTTACCTGAACACTTTGACACTAACTGATGTGCTACACTGATCCATTTTCGGTGAACTATTGCGCTGATTTCATATACTGGCTGACCTATCTACTGCTTCTCTACCTAGAGACACTGAAACAGGATTTCAAAAAAAGTTAATATTCTCAGCTGAGCATTCTTTAACTATTATCAGAACACATTTCACTCCATCTCCATTCACGAATCCTTTTCAAAATGGTTTTCATTTTCTTTTTATGTTTCAATTCACAGACTGACAAATGTAATGTCTTCAAACAACTTGGGATAGGGCAAAATACTTGGTTTCAATTAACTATCCTAAATGTGTATCTTCAAAGGTTTTTTGGGGTCTTGAACTTGAAGATTTGGGGGGGGGGGATATCCCAACCAAAGTGCACTTTTTCACTCCCAGCACAGATCTGTTGCATCAGGGCTCCCTCAAAGTGGTCAATATCAACCCCAACAATTAGTGAGCCTATCCAATAGGTCAATAAACAGCTTATTTAAAATAAGATCAATAAATGCCTGGGGGGGGGGGTGTCAAAAGATTGCTCCTTAAAGATTGTGATTAAAATTCACTATTATCCAACAAATATCAATGCCCTTTTTTGATGCAGGCTTTCCATTAATGATATCAACAGTTCTAGTAAGAAAAGGTATGTTAAACCTTACATTTTAAATATTGCCTATTTTATAAAGTCACTGTTATCTATTATTCATTGTGTTGTGTGTTGTTATTAAAGTACTATTTATTACTTTCATGTGTTTCGTGGTCGATGAATAATCTGAAACTTCATAAAGGGATTAATGAGCTGAAGAGTTTGGGGACCCTTGTATTAAATCAAACTAAGCCAGGTAATCCGATGAGACACACATTTTGTTCCAATAAACACATTCTCTGGGACTTTGTGTTTATTTGAAACCATTTTCTGACAGCTCATCCCGCACAACACTTCTTGGCAACTACAAGACAGAACAGAAGCCATCTTCATTTCATCCCTGCCAATTCAACTCTGCAGTATTCCAAAAACACATTTTAGCCGGTTTACTAAAACACTTTACAGATTCATGACAATCTTTTTGTTTAGTAGGTAATTATTTATGTGTAACACTGCACTATCAAAAAGGAAGCTGGAATACATACCTTAAATGCAAAGCCAAATAAAGAAAGAAACCTTTCTTCTGAAGTATAGCAGTAGCAACAGCTTGCAGTTCAGCTATGAAAACTGTTGCTATAGAAATCAAAAATTTGAGAATATGAGCTATCTTCTTGTAATTCTAGGATCTATTTATTTTATTTAATGTGTATATAAGCTGGCATATTCAGCATCTATTAGTATAAGCATATTTGGCAATGACTTGGGATTTAATGCTAGCCACAAAAGATTAGCCCAGGAAATATTTCTTCCATACCAACGTAAAAATTGATTATACCATGTTTGATGCTCCAATCTTTCATATATGCAATGGAAACTTTCACCAATCATAAAAAAAAGAATGCACTCTCATTCTCATTGCAGGCTCTCAGTTGCTGCAGTGCTACTCTGTGGCCAGGAACAGAGTGCCAAGCTTACCCAAAAACATATTAAGGAGGTACCAGTCCAGGACCAGCCTCGTTATGTACAAGCAGTCTGGGTTTTTTTTAATATCGTGGTTGCAACAACTATGACCTTGAAGAAGTCACTGACACAGAATGGCCTCCCCTCAGTTTGCCTGAATTCCAATCCTATACAATGTAGGGTAGGTGTCGTGTTTGTAATGTCACACAACTGTAGCCACAGAAATGTAAGTGGAAATTTCTTAGTACCGACGCATTGATCTTGCTGACAGCAAATGCACTCTAAATTTTCAATTAGAAAATTGGCTCTCCTATCTCAACCCAGTATCTGCCTCCAGCCCTCCATTGCTGGCTTCTGATTTCCATCGCAGAGACAAGAAGCCCAGCTTGCATGCTTCCCTCTGGGGGCCTAGACAAAATGATCCATTCACCACAGCATTGAAGACTTAAATCTCCCCATCAGAGAAAGGTCAGGCATTTCATCCAAGGACCATCTCTCCCCCAAAGTCACCTAGCTGTTGCTGCAATCTCCAATGCAGACAAGCTAGCCAGACACCAGCTGCGCTTTCCTATCCCATCAAGCTTAATGTGGGTTGCCCACCATGACTTAGCAACTGTGCAAAAATCAGGCCACTCTGGCTTAGTCAACTAGTGGCAATTAAAATTAAATAAAAAACATTTCAGCACAGTGTTCTGTATGCTTAAATTTAGAACCATCACTGGCTTTAAAGGCTTTTAAACAAATAAAGGCAAAATATTTGAGCACAAAAATATGCATCATAGGAAGAAACACACTTGTGCTACATCATCTAATTTGCAATGGAAGGGGTGGTTTTATTCACAATATAACACACTCTTACAATAAACATGCAGTACTGCTACCTAGGATCCTGCTGACAAATGGAGGAAGGTTATCCTAAGCCTGTCGAGTTTTTTATGCCGGTGAGAAAGTGACATCAACAAGGCAGATCTGTGCAATCAGAGCTGAATTTAGAAGCAAGCAAACTAGCGTGGTCTTTTTTTACTTTCTCCATGTCAAAAAATTGTGCAGGTGTTAAATGAACTACGCCTGAAGATCTCATGCATATAGTCACACAATACCTTTTTCCACTTAAGTGTGGATATATCAGGGTATATTTGGACCTATTTTTTTTATATGTATGTTTTGGAGAAGAGGGTAAAATAACCCTTTCCTCTCAAACAGGAGCAGGGAATAGAGCGAGGGAATCCAATAGCTAGGTTTAAAGAAGCTAGAAGGGGAAAAAAATCATACAATAAATAGACAGGCATTAATTTTGCATTTGATTTCTGCAACCTATGGAAAGTACTCCCTTTCTTGAGTGAAGGTCAAGGACTGAAGCTCCTCATCTATCCGCCTTTTAAATCTAATCAGGATTATCAATTCCCCTGGCGTTTCTGACGCAGTTGCATTTTTAGAGGGAGCCATTGCACAGGCCAGGGAGCACAAGCTGATGACTCTGCATACCCATCTTTCTATACTCCGGGATCTCTTCTCTAGCAAGAACAGGGGATAATCCTTCCTGCTGCATCTCACAAAGGCTGTAAGCTTCGCCAGCTGCTCATAATCCCCAAGACTATTGCAGGCATCCTCTCTTCTCAAGGACAAGGGCCTTTTCCTGTCTGCTTTCTGAGCAACTGCGGTTCTACAGCAACCAGCCCTGCGGTCCCCTCCTTTGCAGCCGCTAGCAATCCCATCTAAGCCATTATTTTCCCCATGACAAATCTAGAAATCCCCTCCAGACATTACCAAGGGGACTTCGAACCACCCAAAAGCCTCCACTCCAAAAGCTTGAGCAAAAGCCAACTCTTATCTCCCCCCCCCCTTGTAGTCATTTTTAAGGGCAAGATATTGATTGTGTGCCAAGAAGCTACATCACTCCTCAAAATGTCCCACAAAACCCATCGCCTTTTCTCACCAGGTAAGACCACCTCTGCCCCCATCCCTCCTTCAGCCCACCAATGCTACCATGCCCCCCCCTCCAGATAACCTTGCAGGCCTTTCCAAGGTTAATTAGTTTTTTAAGGGACCTTCCTCCATCTCCCACAAACCAGCCTATTGGGGACCCCCTTCCATTTATTTCTGCTCCCCTTTTTTAGGGGCTGTTCCTAGGCTTTTCATTTCCCTTTTTTCCCCCCTTTAGCATCTTTGTTTAAAATCACTCCACCACCACCTTCTCTTCGTCTGCACAATTCAGGCTTATTTTTATATAACTTCCCCCCCTCCCCGGCCTCATTTTGCTTGGAGGGGGGTCCCTTCAATTACTCCTCTGCCCATCATCCCCCATTAGCTTGAACCATGGCCCCTATGCTCAGGATGATGGGAGGTGCCCCCAACACCTCCTAGACCAGCACGGGGAAGGGGGGAATCCGCTGAAGGAGACCCCTGCCTCCTTGACGGCCGCCCTGGTTCTCCACCTCCCCTTCCCTCCCGCTCACCTGTCCGCCTTCCCAACCGAAACGAGAGCCTCGATAGCGTCGAACACGGAGAGTAACGGCCAAGAGGTGGCTTATATAGCTGCTAGGCAACGCCTAAGGCTCCGCCCCCTCTCCCACCAGCCAAAGCCTATCCTCCCCTCCTCATCCCTCAGAAGACACGCCTCCGTCTGTCTCCGAGCCCGGGGGCTGGGGGGGGGGCTCTCAAGGAGCCGTAATGCGCGTGCGTTGTGCCGCTCAGTCAGATAGATGGTGGTACCCGGAGCATCCTAACGGCTGCTTTGGCCTCCCATTTGCGCGTGCGCAGTGCGGCCGTGGTTACCTGCCGCGGCGGAAGGAGAATGCTGGGCCTTGTGGTGTCCTTTTGCCATTGTGGGTTATTAGAATCTTTTCGGTTATGAAGTGGCTCCTGCCAAACGTATGGGAACCTGCAATTGCCATAGTCTATTCCCAACCATGTTAGCCGGGGTGATCAGAATCAGCATGGAGAAAAATCAAGTGTTTCATGTGACAGCACACCTGTGCGGGAAGCTGAACAGCAGGAGAGAAAAAGGCATCTGGTGATGTGGGGGGGACGATGCAAGAAATAAGTTTGGAGTATTTAATTTGGAGCAACTAGATCAGTTGCTATTTCTCCAATGCTGGTCAACAACTGTATAAGAGAGACAAGCAATTTTCAAATAAACATCAAAATAAATAACTTGCAATGTGTCTCCCCCCCCCCCAGCAGTTCCTAGAAATTTTCAAGCTCTCATAAATAACAGTTTAGTGCACTGCTTATTTGCAAGTAACAACCAGATATTAATCTTTTTAATTGGGGGGGGGGGGAGAAAAAAAATCCAGATTCCTATTAGGGTGCAAGTTTTTATGTTCTCAGAAATTCTGCCTCAAAGGATTAAAGCGTGAGAATAAAGCATCAGGGAACAGGAATATTCTTTATTGGCCAAGTGTGATTGGACACACAAGGAATTTGTCTCCAGTCCATAAACTCAGGAGCCACACATCTTGTGAGAAAGCCACAACTTGTGAGAAAGAATTACTGAGAATTTGGAAGCTTGCACATTGTGTCACTATATGAGCCTATTAAAAACCATTCAGCTAATATGGACTTAAGGTCATTACTTAATAAGCACCATCTACTGCATACAATATCTCATTTCCTCTCCCCCCTCCCTTTTTTCCCTCTCATTTTTGCAGTAACATGAACTTCTTCAAACTTGAATTTTATAGCTTTTGTTTTCATAGAGCTTATCAGTTGGATGCTGAGGTTCACAAGATTACACATTTAATATAGATGGTGAGTTTGATTTTGAACTGAGACAGGAAAAAGCTAGAAGCGGGGGGGGGGGGGGGGGGGACAGATTCAGAGTGAAGGCAGAGTAAATGTTTCAGCAGATGAACATAGCAAGAACTCTTCCAGACTGGTTTTGTCCTCTGATTAAAGTTGCTTTTTCTGCCTCTCATTTTTCTGCCACATGGCGCGAGGGAACCACAAGTGCAAGCCGGCTTCGGTGCTGATATTGAGATGAGCCAGCACAATTGAGCAATTAATAATTTAAGAAACGGGAGCAACAAGAGGAAGAAGGATGCTGATGAAACAGTCACTCTCCTCTATGTCCTTGAAAAAATATCATTCTCAGAGCACACCTACCCAACATGGAAGATTTGGCCTAGGGTTCATCGAAGTGGTCAATATGGACTCTCAAGGATTAATGGAACTATCTACCGGATTGAAAAATGGCTGGGAGTCAATAGGTGGTTAATAAATGATGGGGGATTCATTGGAGTTGATCTCTTGAGGTCTCTGTAGAGTTCCATTGCAATCAGTGCTAGCAGTGAGGTAGCTCGTGGTGAGACAGCATTAACCAGGGTTAGTTGTTCATGCTAATATTATTATATGAATAATTTACAATAAGATTTACAAAAACTTAATTCAAATTCTTAACCAAGTATTCTAAGAATCTAAGGTATTACATATACCACGATGAGATCACAGCTGCCTGTTTATTTATAATTTATTTATTATTCATAATGTTATTAGTTAAAGTGATATTCAACTTATTTTCATATAAATATTTGAGGGATCAATGAACAATCTGCAACTTCATGAAGAGAACTGGAGAGTTTGGGGACCCCGATCTATAGCAAGCTTCTCATCCCATTATATGTTCCGTGAACTAGGACAAAAGCAAAAAGCATTCAGTCTTGTCATCAACTCCTGAAAAAGAGGACCACAATTATCTTAAGAAAATGGCTGAGTTTAAACATTATGCAAAGCCACTGTTTTTTTGCTTGAATAAAGTCAAATTATCTGGGATCACAATCTGCAACATAATTGGTAAACAACAGCTGGGATTTAACATTGTGCTAAGCCAGATATATTCAAACCATATCCTAGCTGCACCTACTGAACTCAGTGCTCCTATTTTAAAATTGCTTTTATGGTTGGATTCATTTAAAGATACTAATTTGAAACTAGAAAGCCTGATTTTGCGGGAAGAACAATGATTAGAAGCTTTTAAAAAATCCTATACAGCTGATCTAGATTTTCCACTTCATTCTGTTTAGGAATGAAGGTTGGTTGTCTTAAGTCACATTATTTCCATCACTCAATAGATGAAGATGGCAGTAGCATCACTAGAAGCATCTATCAGGCCTTCATATCCATCACTATCTCCCCCTCAAGGAAACAATTATATCTCAAACAGCCCCAATCATCTTATTTCCAGAATTTTTCATGATTTTTTAGAATCATGTATTGTCTTTTTTCTGTTTCACATCATCACAAGCATCCTTCTGAAGCTACAGAAAGGATCGGCTGGACTAGAGTTTGAAGACAGGTTTTTGACTCTACAGAATTGCACAGATGATCAGTTTGTGGGCCTAGGGCGATGGTGAAATGCAGCTAAAAATAACTCATGTTCTCTATTGAAGCATGCAAGAATTGTTCGACCGAGGACACGCAGGCACAGAGGTTGTAGGGATTCAAGTAAGATTCTCTAGGTTACCTGGGCCGATGGGAATTAACCAAAGCAGTAATTCAATTTATAATTAGATCTAGTTGCCAAAATAGGTTAATGTCTCTTTCTTCCCAAAGCCCCTATTTTGTGAGTTGACATCTAGTGATTGAAAAACCAATTTTTGCAAATCATTAAATATATGAAATGATTTGTATTTTTTGTTTAGGCGTTCAGCTCAAACTGCCATTTTAAAACTTGGCCAAACAGTAGCAAGCAGTTTCGGGAAATCATTTGATTCAGTATGGCAGACTTTTGTAGATGTCATTTTCAGACCCAATAAAATGATTTTGAGTATTGCAAAGTGCTAAAGGACTTCCTGAACAAAGCAGTGATGACGACGCCTTTGGGAACGATTAGCATTGTTCTTGGGAGGGAAAACAGATGTTTTCCCCCTGTGGTTGGCGGTGTTGGGAGAAGGTTGGACAGATCTTGAATGGGAAAAGGCAAGTTTAGGCCAGGGCGATTAAAGAAAACAGAATGGCAGTGAATAAATTGGAGCAAATAAAAATAAGTAGAAAGCTCAGGTGTCTAGGATGAAAATAGGTCAAGAAATAAAGCAAAACTGGAAGGAGTGATTCACAAGAATTATCTACAGAAAAATGGTCAATAGAGTCAGAAAACAGCACAATGGCTAAAGAAATCAGATAGTGATCGGATGCTGCAGGTTCTAGCTATCAATTTAGAAAGTTCAAAAAAAAACCTCTACACATTATTGATCCATTTATTTCAAGTTATTGGTTAGTGGGCTCTAAATTGTTAAGTACAATAAATACAGGAAGGAAGCTATGTTAAGATTTATATCCTCATCTCTGTATAAGGCAATGTAGGTAATGGTCCCTTGCTGCTGATTTTCCCTATCAACAGCATTGGGCTGCGGAGAGGGATGGCCCAAAAACACACGACCAGTTTCCCTGCCAGAGAGAGAAATAGAACTCATAGGCTCCCCAATTTCTAGTCCGAATTCTGTATCACTACACTATCTATGGCAGGGGTGTCAAACCCGCGTCGTCATGGCAGTGTCACACCATATAGCATGATTTCCCCCCGCCCCTTCGCTAAACTGGGCAGGGGCGTGGCCAGCACGTGACGCATCCAGCCCACAAGTTTGACACCTCGATCTATGGGTTCCATACCTAAAAATACTTTTTTAAAAAAATAAAAGAACTGCATCTCGCTCCCGTTCACGAGGACTGCTTCCTTCAAGCTTTACCATGATTTCGCAGGGGTGTCAAACTGGCGGCCGCTGGCCAGGTGAGTCATGCACAGGCCACGCCCACCCCAGCTCCGCGAAGGGAAAAAAAGATCACGAAACATCACATGGCGGCAACGTTTGACACCCGTGCTTTAATTGAATATCAAGATGACCTGGGGGAAGAGGGAAAGAGAAAAGACCCCCCCCCCAGTGGCTTTTGGGGGGCAGGGAAAGAAACTTAGGAAGGACCCACCCACTCACCCACCCCCCAATTGATCAGGCAGTTAAAAATAGCGGCTGGAAGTTTGCACCATGAGACATTATTGCTTGCCAAGAATTAAACACAGGAGACCATTTTCTGTGTTATTTTGTTGCTCACTGCAGCTTTGTGGCAGGAAGTTTCACCCCTATGAAATGCTACGAGTGTTTCTACACATATCTTTGAGAACACCTGTTTATGCTACGAATAATACCCAAGGCACCATTGAAAAATCTCGCTTTTTATTCACAAAGCACATCTCTACATTGTGAAGGCATTGAAGAGTGAAGGTAGTCTTTGTTGTTTCTTATGGCCATTCAACAAGATATGTAAAGGTAGCTAATCTGGCTGGTGAACACAAAGACATTCTGTGCTAGCAACTCATAAGATTGTCCCATTGTGTTATAATTCCACACAAGAATTATTGCCTCCCGCTGGACAGTTCTAGAGTATCATCCATCTATATTTAATTTTTCTCTCTGTAAAACTGCCACAGAGGACTTAACGACAAGTTCCAGGAAAAGATGGATGTACGTCATCCAGCAATGCACAGGTGACAGTTTTCAAAATAAACAGCAACTGCAGGAATCTGTTATTTATTATTGTGAAAATAGCAGAACGAATCATTCACATTTTCTCATGTCCTCCAATATGGTGGGTAACTTTCAGAATGAATGTTTAGATGTCCAATATGCAACCTCACACACCTGGAAGATATAAGGGCTGGAAAGACTGGACTAAAGACTGGTAACAGGAAGAATTTCAGTCCGTTCTGAAAATGCTGAACCTAGCCGATACATGTGCTCTGTTCATTTTTATTTTCATTCCTATAAAAATGTAATCTCTTTTTTTTAAAAACAAAAAATTGTAAAAAAAATCTTGCTCACTTATCACTTAAATATTTACAGCATCAGTAGTTTCATACTCGGATTCTAAAAACCCCTAAAATTATACAGAGTCACATCATTTAAGTAGCAAGTGTGTTTAAAGAACTCCTTTAAAATCAGAATGAAAAAGGTATTACATATAAATTCATCTTCTTTGGAATCCTCTTCAAAATTACAGGGGGGCAAAAAAAATAAAAGACACGTTAGGTGTCCATGGGGCATTCGATGAAATAAAACAATTTCTTTCTGTCTGAACAGTATCCAGCGATCACATCTGAAATGATCCTCTTTCCAGAATAGCATTCAGAAACACATAGCTCTGAAATTCAAAAGGGGCACCCAAAAATGTATTTTTAAAATGTCTATAATACTACGAGAATCTGAAGGAATCTTGAAGGATCGTAGCCTGCCTCTGATGAAGATGAGCTCAGACATTGAGAGGTGATCGGGTGCAGTCAGCCTGGATTTTTTAATGGCTGCTCAGATCCAGCATAAATGCTGTGGCGTTTCATCTTTTATTCTCCTGAATAAAACTGATGCTGACACATGAAGAGTGTTCCTGTAGCCATTCAAAACACAGAATCTCTCATATTCCAGAAAGAGCAGAACGAATTAAACCACCAAGCTTTCTCTGCTGACAGCATGATTCTGTAGAGGAAAGAGAAAATCACGGTTAATCACGGTTAATCATACCCATAAAATCTCCTCCAGTATCTTCAGAATTGTTTTAAGATTAACAACACAAGATTAAAAGTAAATACCACACTGGCTACGCACACACAAACACATATTTTACAGACAGGCTCCAAGGTGCAAACATTAGCGTCTCGGATCAGGAGCTCACTGAGACATAAAAAAGATATAGATAAATCCAATATAGGGGTGGGGGATGGACCCTTTGCTAATTCGATTTCAAGGGATAGGGGTAATCCTATGAAATCATCTTGATTTATTCCATGCAGAAAATACTTTCAATTTGGTCTGTGATGTGTCTGCTCCTGACTTATTCAACAAGGAATGACTGGGTAGGTTTACACTGCATTAAGCAGTGTAAATACAACCAAACACATGATAACGAAAGACAATGCACAAACCATTCATACACACTTAATAATAATGTGAATATTTTGCTCAAAGGAGCAACTATAAGCCTAATAACCATAAAGCCTTAATAAGACCACACTTAGAATATGGCATCCAATTTTGGTCGTCACACTATAAAAAAGATGTTGAGATTCATAGAAAAAGTGCAGAGAAGAGCAACCAAGAGGATTAGGGGACTGGAGACTAAAACATAGGATGAACGGTTGCAGGAACTGGGCATGGCTAGTCTAGTGAAGAGAAGAACCAGGGGAGACATGATAGTATTGTTCCAATATTTGAGGGGCTGCCACAGAGAGGAGGGGGTCAAGCTATTTCCCAAAGCACCTGAAGGCCAGACAAGGAATAATGGATGCAAACTGAACAAGGAGAGATTCAACCTGGAAATCGGGAGAAATTTTCTGGCAGTGAGAACAATCAACCCATGGAACAGAAGTTGCCTTCGGAAGTTGTGCGAGCTTCTTCACTGGAGGCTTTCAAGAAGAGACTGGACTGCCACCTGTCAGAAATGCTGTTTGGGCAGGGGGTTGGACTAGATGACCTACAAGGTCCCTTCTAACTGTTAATCTGTATCTAACTTCGCTTTATCCACAGCATCTCCATTTATAAAGCATTACAATTGTCCGTCCTTCTCCCCATTTTTTAACCTCACCCTTCGCAGCTTGCGGTCTTCCTTGCCGCGGGAAGACACAGATTCGGTCTCTGTGTACGGAGGTGGTGGAGGAGGAGGAAAGCCACTGCTATCTTCATCCCGTTTTTTCCTGTGGCCGGTTCTCCCATTGGAGGCGCTTCTGTGATCCAGGTCTTCACGGCTACCTGCCCGCTGCTTCTTCCGCAGTGCTTCCTCCAGGAGCTGGTTATCGTAATGGGTTCGCTCCAGATCATCCCTACTTCGACTTCGACGCCTACCATAGCGCTCAGAGTCGTAACGGGAGTCAGGAGAATAATCGCGGTGATGGCATTCGTTGTCTGAGCCGTGCTGGCCCCGACCTCTGTGCTGGGAAGGATAGGAGTCCCGTTCATAGTCATCTAGAGCATCGACTGAGCGGGAACGCGGGCGTCGGCCATAGCTTCGGGGCGGGGAGTCTTCATAACGGTCACGCCAAGTGGCGGGGGGCAGCAAGCGCCGGCTCTCGTTGCTCCGTACGCTTTCCTCCTCCAGGTCACTGATGGGAGACATGGCCTGGCCACGCAGCCTCCCCATGCCCTGCCGCAGCTCATAACGGCGATCGTCTTCATGAAGAGAACTCAATTCACTCATCACAGAGGCTGGAAAACAAGACAGAGAATTAATCATTTGTTCTCCCCCCGACAATAAATGGCGCTGCTGGGGAAGGATCAACTGGGCACACTCCCTTTTCCTACACCGAAGGACCTCAGCAAAGTACCTTTCTCAAGCCTCCCATTGGGCTGCCCTGGCCGAGTAGGGTCAAAGTTAGCCAGCTCCTTCTCCATGTAGTAGAGCACCCGCATGGAGTCATCCTGCTGGTTGGCTTGGATGCGATAGCCACTGCGTACAGCTGGGGAAGAGAGATCAATAGCAGGCTTTAGGACATAGGGCGGTCATTTTTTTTTATTTTTAAGGAGCCGTATGCCTCGGGGAGATGGCCAAGTAGGTTGGCAATCGTGTGATTTCACCCAACCGCTGTCGCCTTTCCAACTGCCATTGAAATTGGAAGAGGAGGCAGGATCTTCTCTGCCGATTGTAATCCCCCATTTGTGCTTTGCACCAAGTGCTGCTGGTTGCAGCATGAAGCACACAGAGGAGAGGGCTGGTGTCAGGAGATTTACCTCTTGCTTCAGTAACAAATTTAGAGTTAAACAAGGAAGGGCAAGGTTGTAACACTATAGACGAGGAGTGTGTGCATGTTCTCTCTTCCGTTAAGGGGGAAGATCTTTCTGCTGGACTGAGAACTTATCTCCAAGACCCAAGGTTTGAAAAGTTCATCTTTTCAGCACAAGGACCAGCCTGCCGGTGGTGTCTAGCAAAATGTTTCAGGCACAGAGATTGCATGAATCTAAAAAAATAAAAATGCCCCAGGTTGAGTCTCTTCAAACAAGTGTTTGGGGTTCCACCACAAAACCGCGTTCGACTAAAGGGCGCTCGACGAAACCGCGTAGCTGATGTCATCACAGCGCGACAACAG